CCCCCTCATGGTCCTCCCATGGCCCCTCATGGCCCCCTCATAGCCCTCTCGTGGCCCCTCATGGCCTCTCGTGTCCCTCTCTTAGCCCCTCATGGCCCTCTCATAGCCCCTCATGGCTCCCCGAGGGTCGGAGGGCCCGGCTCGGTCGATCCCCGCTCGGTCTGTGCCCCCGTTCCCCCCTCAGGCCCCAACGGCCGCGGGCCTGGCGGGGCCGGAGCTGCCGAGGTGGGGCCGGAGGCGGCCCCGCTCCGCTCCCGGGGACCGGCACCGAACTCATTTTGGGGTGTTGGCGTAAAACCCTCCAGCGTTTTACCGCTTCTCTGCACATTTTTTAGGTGTAGTTTTGGCGTGAGGAAAGACGGAGAGAATTGGGGTTGTTCAGCCCGGAGAAGGCTGTGGGGTGACCTAATTGTGGCCTTCCAGTGCCTGAAGGGGACTTGGAGGAAAGATGGAGCACGGAGTGACAGGACAAGGGGGAATGGCTTCATATGGAGAGAGCAGGGTTAGATGGGAGGTTAGGATGAATTCTTCCCTGTGAGGGTGATGAGGCCCTGGCAACAGAGGAGTCTGCCCAGCAGAAGCCTGCTGGCTGACGCCGCAAGCCCATCCCTGCAAGTGTCCAAGGCCAGGTTGGAGCAAACCTGGGATAGCGGGAAGTGTTCGTGCCCATGGCAGGGGTGGGACTGGGTGATCTTCAAGGTCCTTCCCAACCCAAACCACTCTGTGATTCTGTGATAATTTGCCATTTGTTATTAGCTCTGTTCCTGAGCTGAAACCTGCCACCAGTGATGTGTCTGCAGTTAGAAAGCTGTGGCTGGGGAAGGAGGAGACCACGCACCAGGAAAGGTGTCTCTGAACATCCTTTCCCAATGAGTGAAGTTAGAATTGCCCTTTTGTGTTTCTAACAAGTGTTGTTTGTTTCCAGATAACCGGGTGAGAGCTCCCCAAGTGCTCAAGTAAATTCTCTTCTCCCCTTCCATAGCCAGTGTCCAGAATCCACCATGGACTATCTCACCAAGCTCCTCGGCGTCGTGGCTGGAGTCGCGTGCGGCCTGTGCCTGGGATGGGGCATCCGTGAGAGGCTCCTGAGGAAGCGCAAAGCGGGAACACCTGCACCTCCCAGCACCCTGGAGGGCGAGGCAGACGTCATGGCAGAGTCCGGGGAGTTCAAGATGGTGCTGATCGTCCGCCAGGACCTCAAGATGGGCAAGGGCAAAGTGGCAGCCCAGTGTTCCCACGCTGCTGTCTCTGCCTACAAGCAAGTGGAGAGAAGGAATCCCGAGCTCCTGAAGCAGTGGGAGTACTGTGGGCAACCCAAAATAGTCCTCAAAGCTCCTGATGAGGAGACTCTGGCCCAGCTCCTGGCTGAGGCAAAGCGCCTGGGACTGACCGTGAGCTTGATCCAGGATGCTGGGCGTACTCAGATAGCTCCAGGCTCCAGGACCGTCCTCGGCATCGGACCAGGGCCAGCTGATGTCATAGATAAAGTCTCTGGTCACCTTAAACTCTTCTAAACTAGGACCAAAATAGTTGATGTATGTCAGTACTGAAGGGTTACAATCCAAGTTTGGGCGTTTTCCCATATGCTCTCAGTTTAAATAAAATAAGTTTTGTAAGGTTTACATTTGTAAATCATGAGTTTCTCTGGTTTGTGTGTTATGTTCCAAAGGGGGGAAGAAAACACTTGGCTCAGGGGAGTTGAAGAAAGCAGAGGTGGCAGAGTTTTACTACCCCCAGGAAGGAACCCCCAATATTTACAACTTGTGCAATGGGTTGAGGATTTTGTGTGGTGGGTGGTAGCAAAGTTCAAGAGAATTTGTCCCATGTGCTCAAAATGGCAAGGTTTCCCCTTTCTGCCTGTTTTTGAAGAGTTACATTCTTTAATTCAGAAAGGATTGGCAGGGGAAGCAGTTAAAAATCGCCCCAGATTGCTTGGGGGGATCTGCAGCCAACGTCCTGCCCCAGTTCTGGGAGAGCAACTGATGCAATAACCTGTAACTGGTGTGAGACTGACTGGTTAAACTGGGTTTGCAGCCCAAGCCTTAGGAGCTGGTAAATAGTTGTGGGGAGCAGCTGTAAGCTGAGCTCCCCTCTGGAGGGGTCTGTGTGGCTCCTACACCTGCAAAAATGTGCAGTTTAGCAGAGGTGGAGGGAGTTACCCTCACACAGACAGGTTGGCACACAGGGCCACACTTAAATCCTGTGTTACTTGGGGTTAACCATCCTCCCGGGTTTAAGGAAGGAGTTACAGATGTTACTGGGCAGTTCAGAGTACACTGGTCACAGCTCAAGTAAATTCTACCTCTACAGCTCCGTTGCAGCTCTGATGGTAAATAGGCAAGTTCCCTGCACTTTTAGCAGGTGGAATTTCTGCAGGTCAGTTTTGTAACAAATCTGGTTTGTAAGAATTCTGTTGAGCACCTTTTACAGCCTCATGGCCATGTTTTCCAGCTGAGCACCAAAGAAATAGGTTGTAAGAGAGGGAACAGAAGGATTTGTCTCCATCAGTCATGTTTACAGACCCAGGAGGAATGTCAGAGGGGCTGACATGAGTTTTATACTGCACCTCTCAGGCATAATCCTTTCAGAGACACAACTGTGGGGTTCCCAGGAGCAAGGGAGAAGGGGATTTGGCCTCAGTCGGATCCTGGCACCAACTGTGGCCCCTGGTTGAGACAGGAGCTCTGACAGCTCTCACAAACACAAACCTGGCCAGTGCTGTAACACTCATTACACTCAAATATGACAGTATTCATAGAGAAACATTTAAGTCAATTTTATTTGAAGCTAAATATGTTTAAGGCAATTTACATACCTAGAACATGATCTCAATTGAACTGGCACACCCTACCACAATCCTAATGTATCATCTGCTCAAATCTGCTGGAGTTGACCACAGTGCAGCCAACTGGTGAAAAGTGCTATTTTCTTCTCTCTGGCATCATCTTTCTATAGAAAAAGCATTACATATTTTCCTGTATCGCCCCCTCAGTGCAAGACCCCGCTACTGGTCCCCATTGCTGCTCTTCTACTGGCCCCCTCAGACCCCTGCCTGCATTGCCCCACACCAGCAGCACTGTAATACTTGGTTTGAGTTGGAAGGTCCTTTTTGAAGACAGTAAAGTGAAGCTACCACTGTGCAGCATGTCCACAGTCCAGTAATTTATTTTTAAATCGCGTAATTTCAAATTGCACAAACAAAACTGAACAGCAATATGCTTGAATTCTCTCTTCTGTACACTCAAAACAGTGATCTAAAACACCACAATATCCAACATACACAAACCTCAGGGCAGGGTTAGTAAATACACAGATTGGAATCATGGTGCTCTGTTCCTGAATGGAATGTCCCACAAAAGCACAGGATACAGCACAACATAAGGTCATCTGTTACATATGGAGTGAGCAAAAAGACACTAGCATTTTCTATATGCATAACTGGAAAAACCTGCATAGGTTAAGGGGGAAAAAAAACCAAAACAAAACCAAAACTTTTTACTCATTTGAAGTCAGGCAAGGTTGTCTGTACGCATTGGAAATTCTTTTAGAGCTATGCAATCCAACCCAGGGAGGATATGCTGATTAGTGTTGTCTCTTGTCAGCAGTCTTGCAAGGTCAAATACAAGTATCTTGGCTTTAGCTTTCTCCAAATATACAGTGAGACTTAAATGCATTTAGAATAGACAGTACATACTGTAAAGCTGCTCACATACAATGAACTTAAGATTCAATATTAGAGTGTAACACTATAGAGTGCAAATCAGAATCTTCACAATAGACTTAATGGTAATAAGCAGTCCTGCAAAAGCCCACTTGAACAAAGTCGTTTTAAACTATTCCCCTTTCGAAAGTAAAAGTCTAAATGACATGGAATGTGGAAAAAAGATTTAAACAGAGGTGATTCAAATCGTTTGCGCTAGAAAAAACAGTCCTTCATGAAATAAAGGTTACAAGAACACGAGGCAGAACTCTTTGCTTTTCCCTGTTATGAGTTAAAGCGGGGAGGGACGGTGGAGTTTCAGTAAGAAAATACGCTGCTCCCAAGGGAGTTGTGCTGCAGCTCACATGCTGTACCCAAAGCCAGGCTGGGGCTGCCCGTAGGGAGGTGCAGTGTAGCCGTAGCCAAAAGGTGCTTGTGGAGGAACTGCGACACTGGGTCCCGCTGTCAGCATGAGCTGGGGCTGGCCTGCAACACACAAACGGCATCTTTAGTGCCCCTGCACTCAGCACAGCTCCTGTAACTGCCCTGGGGGTATTTGTGTGTTTAACAGCGAGGCCCTGCCCAGCTGCTTTGGGGGCTGTGGGCCAGGGGGGGGATTTCCCCACAGAACAGCAGGACAGAGTACGTGGCTAAAAATACTGCACTGGAAAGTGTATGAAGAAACTCTCACTAGAACTAGTGGAATAACCTGGATACAAAGAAAATAGCCATGTTGGACAAGAGCCAAATAATGCACTCGCTGGAAGGCTGGAATAGCACAGCTCCTGCACACCCTTCCTTAATGAGCCAGGACAACCTTAAATCCTGCAAGCCCACAGCCCACCTCAGCAGCCACGGCATCAGAGTGGCACTTTATCTAGTATTTTGGAACACATTCCTTAAGACTTGATTTCACATGAAAAACATTCCAATTTCCAAGGATTTCCTTGGGAAAAACCAAGATTAGAGAAGTGTTGTTTTAGGAGCAAAATGTGTTATGGACAACACATGAACTAAAGCATTACCATAAACAATAGGTTGTGTTTCTGTAGCTTGCTCCTCTTCCTTTCTCAAAGACTCTGATGCATCCAGTTTGTCCACCTGGAATTGAGACCAACAATTAAAAAATCTCCTCTGAAACAGGTACTTACTTGTGGCAGAGAAGTGGAAAAGCCTTAGTGGTATGTTAACACCCATCCAGAAAAGGAGACCATTTACAAGTTAAGATCAATTCAAGTAGCAATGTTGGTACTGGTGCAGTCAAGATTCTGTTTCCTGAAAAAAGCCCTCCTTGAGGCATTTGTGTAACTGCTTTGAAAGCTCACTCCAGGCTGAAGCTTTGTACCAAAGGCTCCGTACGGGACTGGAGCTACCTGGACATCAGGAATTAGCTCATCAGGGTCGCTCCAACTACTTCAAACCAACAGCCTTTAGGATTTGAGCACAGTCTCAGTTGGAGACCTTTGGCATTGGAGCAGAAGTTTCCCTGAAGACAGCACTGAGGTAAAATAATCTGATTTAGGTACAGCAGACTGCAATAGCATCCGACATGTCACTTGAGCCTCAAGATTTCACTTTCCAAACCCATTCACTCATGCAATTTAAGTTCAAATGCAGAGAATGCATGTGTATAAGACTTGCTTTTTCCACTCCAGAACTGTGTGGCAGTCAGCCTAAACCCACAGATACTCCAATTCTTCCAGCTTAACACACAGTAAGGACACAAGCCTGGCCAGCTCCAGTGCTGCACAGGGAGTGCACTCGTGCTCTCAGCCCACCCCTACAGAAAGGCAAGAGAAGAGACTTATTCTGCAGTGAAATATTGCTTGTTACTAAAACAGATCCAAGGGAACCCAGCATTTCTACAGTCTAAGGCAGGCCCTGAAACTAAAACCACAAAATGAGGTATTGATATTTTACCTGGGAGACGAGATTTAGGGTAAAGTCGAAGAAAATCACGCCAATTACTTTTAAAGACAGTAAGACAACTCACAAACCAGATTAACCTTTCATTTCATTCGTGTCCTTAATAAAGGTGTTTGAAGACAGGTTTCCTGCACTTACACAGGGTCAGTGTTACTTATTCAGCTGCACCAACACCCGGGAGTTGAACAGTTTCCAGTTTAACTGTGCTGCATCAACAAATCTCTGAGAGCTGTGAGTTACATGTGTTCCATAAGCCTGTTAACCCATAACCTCAAGCTGAGGCACAAACCCAGGAGGTGGCAGAAGTGCTGAGCTCGAGTTCCCTCCCTGACTGGGCTTCCATGACCAGCCTGTTGGTTGCCTCACCCCAGTATCTGGTTTGCTGCTGCCAAAGTGCCCAGGATCGTGTGCCAACGCCCCCAGACTCATTCCCAGAGCCTGTGCTGAGAACTGCACTGTTTTCAACTCAAACAGCAACACACTGAACACAGAAGCACAAGTTCAGAGATGCAAATCCAAGGAGAATGTGCAGAGGTTGCTACTAAGCAGAGGCATTTGGCTTACACACACTTGGAAAGCCTCCAGCCCAGGACATTCAATGCATTTTTGACCCAGTTTTGATGCCTCCCCTCAGAGCTCAACAAATCTTTACGGTCACAAGCGCGAGTTTGAAACCAGCCTGCAGGATGGTTCTTACACCACTTGCTCGAGCATCACCAGGTTCAGGGCCCTACACACTTGTAGCAAGATTGATTTCAAGGCTTTTCCACAGGGACTGCAAGAAGCTGCAGAGGAAAAGTAACATGCATTCAATGTTCTCGTGTCATGTGTGCATGAAAAAGAGGCAAGAGTACTGAAGCACGAGTGAGGGCTGAAGATGACTGCCAGACAGGCTCCCCCCAAAAAACCACAGCAGCCCACAGCAATGCCTTGGAGCTTAAGGAAGAGTGGGATGTAATTGCAATGACTGCTACACATGCTTAGGTTATGCAAACACTGCAGTTCAATTACC